AACTTTTGGTTGACTTGCTCAGGAATTTCGTAATTAACAACAGGTGTTCTATAAAAGCATGAAACTTCAATCACAACTTGGAAAAACATTTGGGCTCGCAATGTGTTTACAACAATTTAACCTATTCAATTTGTAAGATTACACCAACAAGAACATATAGAGAATAGGAGATACGTATACAAACCAAATGAACAGAGATAATTCTATTCTACAAATTTAAAATTTTATTAGTCCTAGTTTCATGGTCATCTGACCAGAAAGAATGAAATGGTAAAGTACGTTGACACCAGTTCCAAAGAAGTGTGCATCAGTTCTCTTTATCTTAGAACACGGTTTGAGCTTAAGAAAAAATTTTCTTCGCCAGCAATAGTAGAATGTAGTGTTCCACCAGCCCAACCATTGTTTAATGGACGACCAGCAGCACGACCTGGATCTCCCCCTACCACTCGAGTGCCTTCAACTTGTTTTTCATATTCCGGAAGGCCCTTTGCCTTCCTCTCTTTCCTTCGTTTCCTCTCCTCGTCTCTTTCTTTCCTCAGCCATCTCTCTACTGTCCTCTGTATATCCAGGTAGAACGACCATGCAAAGTCGAAATGAGAAAAATTGCCACAGTATATATCATATGATTCAGTCATAATGTCCAGGTATTAGATGAAATCAGATCATCTATCGATGTGGACCTCTAGCTAAGAGTATGAGAGGAAACATGTTTGAATTTCAAAGAAAACCTGAATGAGGTTCTATTTTGGATTTTACATTTTCTAAATACTCCAGAAACTTACCATTAGTGATAAATTGCTGATCTGCTTCACCTTGTCCATTGGCATTGCTAATTGCAGCTTCCCATGAGCCACATATATCTGCAAATAAAACAATTATTCTAACCATCACTTTGTTAATTTTTAAGAAGCTAACGCTTAACTTTTCAAGGAATCCTTCAAAGGAACAAATGCAAACTTGAAAAGGAATGTAAGTATGATGATATTGGGTTATGCACGTTCTGATTTTCAATTTCTCAAAATACTTCAATTGGGTTGTCTCAGACCTTCTAATAGGTATTTATCTCAAGATCCAAAGATAAAGCAAGAGGTAAGTAAGAATCAGCTCTTACTAAATGAGAAGGCCAGTTCTCAAGACCATCAAAAATGTGTGTTGCATAAATTATTGTAGCGCCTCGCTCTTCACATTCTTTGATCAGAAATTTCAAAAGATCAGACCTTGCAAGAACATCCAGATCAACTGTTATCTCATCGAGAAGTAGTACCTAGACAAGCAGGGTTCTATCTTGTGTCAACATTGTCTTCAAGTAACTTGTAACAGTTAAAAGGTAATGCTTTTCACTTGGTGAAAGTATTTACAGATATACCTTGAATGGTTTCAGAAGACCCATACATATCTGCACTCTTCTTCTTTGCCCATCAGATGATCTGTGCATTCTCCAGGACAGATCGATACCAAGAACCTTCATGAACATAAGATTAAGAATATTAACATATGCTGATTTAGTTGTTTGTCGTGCATGTTTGTGTGTATTTATTTGTTCCCATTAGCAATTTTTATCATGGTACAAAGTTAGAGCACTCCTACTTGTCATGAGAGACAGAATTCTGATTAAGCCTGGAAAATTAGTAAGAAGAGAAAGAGAGATAGTTTTTCCAGGCTTTAGCATATGGTCTATACCTTTCAGTTTACCTTAAAACACTAGCAGAATATACGATACAATCTTTTTGAGTTGCCCATGGGACTTTGTTGAATTTCACGCAGATAACAATTGCTAATTTTTATCTGTACCTTAATTAGTTCATCTCGTCTTTGTGGATCAGTTCCTGGAACCCCAAAAATCATTTTCTCAGCAGAAACATCCATTTGGATAGGCACCTCAAATCCAGCAAATGCAACTTCTCTCCTCCACTGCAAAACAGAAAGCACAACAGAACTTAGTTTTCTACTTTGATAATCAATTTCCGAATTCACAAGTTCATTTAAAAGATGTGGCATGTTTGTCATTTCAGGAAACAGGTTTAATCAAGCGTAAACAAGATGTTAGCACTGTTATAGCATATTACTTCTATAACTAAAATCTTCTTGAAAAGTACCATATTACATGTAGAAACTAGCAACGAATAAATGAGAGAAACCATGTTAGAGAGATTGAATTTTAAAGCTGATTCCAAATAGAACTCCAACTAGGCAAGAACGTAACCTTAGTTAAACATAACAGAAGAGCACTTAGTTCTGCTGGAATTTATTCAATTGTTACATAAGACGACATTGCCAAGTTCCAATACATGCAATTAACAAACTAAAGAAGCGAACAGTCCTCAAAATATAATAAACCATGAAAAGATAGTGAAGGAGCAAAGCAAGAGAAGAGATACCTCTCCACCAAGATAACTGAGGTCTCCAGAAGCCGTTAAAGCAGTGTCATGAAATGCAGATCTTCCAAGCACTCTGACCATGTCTGGTTCTACCATATGCTTTCCTCCCAATATCTTCAGAATTGTAGTCTTCCCTATCAAAAGAACATGTCTCTCAGATCTCAATCAAACCTCCTATTAAGGGGGTGCCTTTGGTAGGGCAAAAAATGTTTATACAGTGTTTGGTTAGCTATGTTTTCTACAATTTCTAGCAAAATAAGCAAGATGACATCCTCTCCCTTATGAAGGCAAGTCATTTTTCTGTACAAATATGACAATTCTTACTCCATTTGCTCACTACAATAGACATCTAAACATTGTTGTCAACCTTTAATACTAGAAAAGAATATGTCAAAACACTATCCTTATACGGTTATACCTTTTTAATGGTGGAAACATCATTAAAAAAATAACTTTTTTCCACAAGAGAATAGAAAAGACAAAATTTCATCAACACCAAAGCCAAAAGGCACCCTAAAAATTCGGAATTGGAGATAGCAGCAACGAGAAACAAGTTTAAAGCAACCCCTTTAGAATTCTTGATTATACTAAAGAGAGTAATTCAAAATTTCAATGTGCGGAATAGAAATAGAATTAGAACCTGCGCCATTAGATCCGACAAGAAGGCATCGATCACCGGGATAAAGGGTAAGGTTGAAATCATCTATCAAAGGGGTAGATCCGGGAGGCGGATGTCCATCGATACCAGGGTAGGTGAATTTGAGATTGTTGATCTCTACTGATGGCTTTTTGTCTTCCTTTACGGCCATAACCTTTCAAGTGTTCGATGAAATGCGGTAGAGAAGTAGTGTACAAATTCAGCTTGTGAGAACAGGTTAATATAGTAGTAATTAATTATGCAAGGATTCAGCCATGGCCACGTTCTTTGCTTATTTCCCACGTATATGTACTTTCCCTTCCAACTACCATACTCGCAACTCGCCGACGGGCGACACAAATTCAATGGTCTTCATTTAATTGCACCGTTGGAAACTTTTTTTTTATTTTAATGTTGATTATAGATTTATACTATTTTATCTAATTTTTAGGTATATAAATTTTTATTTTGAAAATTTTCATCTAAAAAGGAACAGATTGATCCTCCTTATAGTGTCAGACTATGGGTTCAATTTTTTAATGTTGATTCAAAATTTATAATATATATACATTACGAAATTCATCACATATTTATAAAAAAATTGATGATAAAATTTAGTCATTTGATTTGAAATAATTATAGAAATTCATAACTTTTAAATTATAAATTCACTCTTTTTTTTGAAATTGTTCTTTCATCGTGTATAATTCATATCGAAATGAATATAATGAGAGATGGAGGGTTAGTATCCCACTCCATTCAACCAGACATACAAACAAATGTTTTAGCAAGACAATGGGCAATCTGATTTGCTGATTTCTTAACAGCCGGACAAAGAAAGAAAAGGTAACTCTTTGATAAGAGTTTTACGAAAAACTGAAGAATCAAAATAAGAGTAATTCATCAAATTTTCTTCCAGCGCTTGCTTCACAAGTAGCTTATCACTTTCCACTACCAATCTTATTCTACTGAACCGTTTCTTTAGCCAATTAAGAGTTTCACACACCCTATGATTTCGCCCGACAACGGGCTAGCCACACGACCAAGAAATAAAGCTCTCCTAGTAATAAATTGACCAAGTGATCACGTAGCATCAAATCTATCCCCGCTAAACCGATATTGATATCGTAAGAGGACATCAATGTTACACTTAATTGTATCAAGCAGAGGTCACTCCCATTTAGTAATCTTTTTTGCAGCAGCAACAATCATCTCGGTTCCTGAATTGACACTTCTCCATTCCTCCAGTTCTTTCTTCGCACAGTACAAAGTGATAGCAGACACATTTTATTTATTATTCCAACATAAATTATTTCTGACTTCCCACAAGCTCCATAAAATCAGGATTGCTTCCTTTATTCTTATTTTTGCATTGCTCTTTGAAGTTATACCAAAATAATATACGTGAGAAAATAACAATGTAATCGAATAAATCTAATTTTCTTCTTCTAAAGGTGAAAATGATCTCTTATAATCGCTTACAAATTGAAAAAGTTTAATATTTATTTCAAATTTCTTAGGTATAAAAATTAAATCTCTTATGATTAAAAGCAAATTATAAAAAATGACAAAACCAAACCTTTTATCAACTCTTATTTCTTAGTTTTTTGAATATATCTAATAGAAGGATGAAAATTGTTCATTTTTAAATATTTGAAGAATATTTTCTGCTAAAAATGATACTTTAAGAATATAATTTAAGTCTGGGATATAGTTTAAGGATGATTTTGACCAATAACTCATCCCAATTACTAACCAAATAAGAGAAACATTGTCCAGTAAAAATAAAATAAAATAAGAGAAACATTCGATTTCTAAGAATTCTCGTTTTGATTTAATTAATTTGTTGCCTTAAAAATATCATAAAGCGGGGATAGCTCAGTTGGGAGAGCGTCAGACTGAAGATCTGAAGGTCACGTGTTCGATCCACGTTCACCGCATTACTTTTTATACATTAATAAATAACTTTTTCTTATTTATTTTTATTAATATCCTTTTCCCAAACTCTTTTCTACAAAATTGTTTTGCTCTCTTCGTTTTTTCCCCTTCTTCTTCCCTACAGACTACCCGATTTTGCATCTGAATTCAGGTATACTCTCCCTTATTTTTACTCGTCTCATCTCTCCCAGTCTAACTAGGGTTTAAATCTTTTCACCCCATCTTGTGTACTTAATCTAACTTAGATCAACTCTCTAAAATCAGAGATCAGTAACAATTCTTTCCTTTTTTTTTTTCTTTTTTTTTATGTGTATATGTTCTTTCTTGCCTTTTAAGGAGTCTTGTAACAAACCAACTAACTTGGGTTAGAGGCATAGTAGGTAGTTGTTGTCATTGTTGGGTTTTTTTTCTTTTGTGTTATTTGTATCCAGGAAAAAATGAGTGTAATCTTCTCTTGCTAGAGAGGTTTTTTTTTCTTCTTTTGGGAAATGCCCCACTTATGGGTTTTCACTGGGTTTGTTGTAGTTCTTTTGGGAAATTGGTATACAGTGCAATACTTTGTATGTTTTTCAGAAAATTGAATTCATTCAGATCAAGAAAATTTTGGTGTTTTGTTTGGTGGCCAAGTGTGGGATAACTTATCCTGCCATTTATACCATAGTGATAATCCTGGATAACTTGTTCCCAACCAAACGACCCCTAATAGTACTATTATTTTTTAATTATTGAATTTTGGTTATGTACCTTTATCACAACCCATTTTATCTAAGTCGTGAGGACATCTATACCCTAATCCAGTAGGCGAACCAATTCATATATTGAAAGACAAGAAATTTAAGCATTTGAAACCATTTGGTAATCATAACATAAGTCTCATAAGTTAACTGTGCAGAAAGAAGTACATAACACCTCCAAGACTAGTTCAAGTTCTTTGAATACTTGTTCGCAATTTCTGTTTTCAGTTCATTCAAGTTCATGCCAAAACTTTCTTAAATGATCTTGTAATGCTCCATTATTACAGAATAGCAGAAAACATACATTTTTTTGTTGCATGGTGTACCTTATTTTATCAAGTGTGGTTCCTCAATATGATTTTGACATTTTGTAACACACTCTGCTTCATATGTCTAAGAAATTATACTACCTCAAAGAAATGGTGCAATTCTGCAACATGTATGTAAAAGGATTCTAGTAATATCACAAGTTCAAAGCATATAGGTTAAAAATTTGACCATGTGCGTTCCTAAGAAGTTGTAGAGGACAAGTATCAAAACTGTTTCGTAAAAACCCTTTCGAAGGACATAGAAATCTATGAACAAAGTCTTTTGTGATAAAACAGTCTAATAAAGCACATATGGATAAAACCCTGTATTCTGGATAGTTATATGTCAAGAGAGGGATACAAAGCAATCATCTCATTTAAAAGTTCCAGATAAGTGACAGGTTAACTTACATGAATATGAAAAGTAGCCAAAATCCTTGAAAATTCTGGTGAAAACAAGTCTATCTTGTGATATACGTGATGAAAGATTCCAACTCTATTCGAGAAGCACCCCCTTTCTCTGTGGAGCGCCTTAAGGCTTCTCCCATTTCTTCTGCTCTTCTCCTAATTACATCACCTTCTTCTGATGCCATCAATTTCCTCACAACGTTCTCAATAGTGGATGCACTTACTAGCTCCTCGCATTTCTCTGACTCCCTCACAATCAGGCCTATTTTCAACATTTCCGTCAGAAACCATTTCTCAGTTGGTCAGAGTGCATAGGCCAAGCAGCTATAGGCACTCCCATAGTAATACTCTCTATACAAGAATTCCATCCACAATGACTCATGAACCGCCTGTGGACGTACGAGCCAAGATTCCTGGTTGTGGTGCCCATTCTCTTACCACTAAGCCTACATCTTTTAATCTCTCCTCAAACCCTTCTGGCAGCTCTACTCTTCTATCTTCCCCAGTAAAGTTATCTCCTCTATTGACATCTCTCAACACCCATATGAACTTCTGTTTGCTTAATTCTAATCCCATTGCGAGCTCCTTGATTTCTCTATCGGAAAATGATGTTGTTGTTCCAAAAGATATATAAAGAACTGAGCTTGGAGGTTGTTTGTTAAGCCACTCCAAACATATATCGTTCCTAGTTGAGATATGATCGAATTTAGTAGGCAGAATAGATCCAACTGCCCATTGTTTCTTGTTCAGATCAAGTTCTGCTTGTGCCAGCAAATCAAGATACTTTCCTTCAATTACTCTGCTTGTATTATAAAGATCGCCTGATCGAATATCTAGATACCGATGCTGAGAAGCTGATAAGTCCCTGACTACATCTATCGTAATTTCTTCAAGGGAGGGTAGCGTTTTAAGCAATTCTTCTTCATGTTGGTCAAACATCCCAAAAAATAACTAAAATTGTAAATTGAATTCATTCAGATCAAGAAAGAGAAGGATTCAATATAAATGGCAGCTATTTACAGCCTTTACATCATCAATAAATCAGGAGGGCTTATCTTCTGCAAGGTGAATTCAAATTCCAACACTTTTCAGCTTAGGCCGTTTTATTTTGTTCTTATTTGTGGTTTTAATGGGTGTGTAAGATTCCTTAGGATTATGGTTCTGCTGGAAAAATGGACACAAATGATAGTTTGAGATTGGCTAGTCTGTGGCATTCTATGCACGCTATCTCTCAGCAGTTGTCCCCAGTTAATGGCTGTGCTGGTATCGAACTCCTTCAAGCTGATACATTTGATCTCCATTGCTTCCAATCTCTTACTGGTAATTCTTACATCTCCACCATTTTGTCTTTATCTGATTATTTTTGAGAAGCATCTTTTTCTTTTTAATGATTTTTATCAGCTTTAGTTTTTGACATCTTTTATCATGTATGTTCTGTTGTAAATTGTAGTTATAAATGTTTTATACCTATAAGCTTGAATGGAACTAAAGCTTACTCAGTAGCAACAAGGTTACAAACTTAAATCTTAAATCTTTGGCCCAAAAGTTATAAGAATTTAGTCCATATGCTGGAAAGGGGGAAAATGTAACCTAAATGGTACTTTAGGCTCAATCAAGTAGCTCAATATGAATAATGATTTCCTGCTGAAGTTGTTCTGTATGCGACTTCGATCTCAGGAAATATGGTGCAGTATCTTTAAGTGGCTCATGCATCTTTTCTCCATTTCAGTTATTTTTATTTTTAATTACCCTCCAATTTAAATCGTGCAACAAAGAAATTTCCAGTTCTCTATTCAGAAAAGCTAGAAATATGGTTTAAGAGACTAGGGGATGAAAATTAATTAGAATCTAAACCTTTCTGTCAGACTGGGTATGGAGGGTTAGATCATCTCGGCACTGATGTGATGTGCACTAACAATCGTAGTGTAATCGATCAGGATCTCATAACAGCTTCTTGAGATTTTATGCACCAGTGTGGCAACTTCAAGACATTTGAGATTAAATGATAGATGAAACTAAACTTGGCAAAAACATTAAAAGGACTTGTTAAAGAGAATCTACACAGTCTCTTGTTGCACAAAACAGCTCCCATGAATATACAGGAAACATCATGTACAAAAGAAACTTCTAAAGGCATGTGGTGATCCCCAAATATTTGGCATAACTTAGTCAGAAAGAATTTGTGTTCTTTTATTTGTTCCAGTGTGCATTTGAATGGTGGCCCTATATGATTGCCTATTCCTATGTATATCAGTGTTTATACTGAATTGTTCTTCAAATCTAAGTACACTCATGGATATTTAAGAATCTAACTTGGGTAATTATTTGTATTTCCTCTGGAGCTTTGTTAAAGGATGCTGACTCCTAGTTTCTATCTTGATACTACTGGTTAAGAGATTTGCTGAATCTGTTAAAGTTCTTTCTACATACACAAGACCAATGGGCATCACAAGTGAAAGGGCAGACAAAATACAGGCTAATAGTAACGATGAAAAAAATATAGGCTAATAGTATTCTTCTTTTTTGATTGGATAGCCCATAAGTTATAGGCTAATAATATTCGTTCTATAATGAAAAATAGTGTTGACTAATTAGGCTCAAAGAAGCTGCTTGATCTGTTTTATAATGAGTTGTGGCTTGCACATGATGCCGATTCAATTTTCATAGCCTTGTTGAAGTTGTTTGCTTCAAGGCTAATAGGCCAAAGAATGATCTGTTGAAGTTGGACAGATCAAGAAAAAGAATGAGACTACATCTTCATGAACTCATTCTTTCCATGTTTCCTAGATAGACCACAAGTCCACAACAAATATCCAAAGAAGACAACATAGCTAATATCTTAACTTGTATAGATGATATTCTCCTTGTATTTTTGTGTTGAAACCATACCTCAGAGAAATAAGTTTTTCCCTTGGATAATACTAAGTTGAAATGAAGTGAAATATTTGCAAACAGGAAAACATATTTGGTAAAGATGGCAGCTGTTTGCTCATTTTTTAAGAAACAATGGAAGCTGTTCACTTGTGTAATAAGTCAACGGAAATGATGGAAGACTAATCAATAATGCATGGGAAGCCACTTGGTAAATATTTGACAGACTAGTCGAATGTTTTAGTGCCTCTGAGTTGAGAGTGCCATGGAACATTTAACTTGATATTCAATCTTACATCTTATTTCTTAATCTTTTTCCCTCAGTCACTGCTGTCAATTCAGGTTACACTCCAACCAGCTAAAAGATTTGATTGATTTACTTAACAGGAACAAAATTCTTTGTGGTCTGTGAGCCTGGAGCTCTGCATATGGAGTCCCTCTTGAAGTATATCTATGAATTATACACTGATTACGTCTTGAAGAACCCTTTCTATGAAATGGAAATGCCAATTCGGTGTGAGCTCTTTGACATAAATTTATCACAGGCAGTTCAGAAAGATCGTGTTGCTTTGTTAGGGAGATGAGCTTCTCAAGTTCATATGCCATAAGTTGTTGACTGATCTATAATTTGGCAAGTTTCGTTGACAGGTTCGGTTATGCATCTGGAATGTGATTTTTCTTTGTTGTTTCGAGATAATGGCTTGTAAGATAAATTTTGAGAACCACCCCAAATAACATTTTTTGTGCACAATCACCAACTTGTCATGGCTCCATATTTCTATGGTAGGCCTAGAGGTGAATTTCATCTTACCTGAATATCCTATTATCTCTATAGTTGGTTCTACTGTTGAAGCTCATTAGCTGGCTGCTGCTGTGGTACAGTAGTTTAAACTCAACAAGGAAAGAAGATTGAAAGACACCATGAGTATGTATAATTTCCATTTTGTGCTGTTCCAACATCTGTTCACAGACTACATAATTATCACTAAGATTCAAACACACTATATAGGTTGCAAATAATACAGAAACTTTCACTTATTGGACCACCAAACTAAACCTGCCAAAAAAAATAAACAAGTGGCAGTATCCCTCCACAACTAATAACATCAAGAGTTGATCATTGCCAGTCATATATATAGCTAAGCAGCTGATGGGCTAGTAATATATAGAGCACTTATATTCGAATCCGAAAAGGCTGCTTCCTTTAATCTGTTTGCTTCAACTGTAGAACCCTGCGCCTTGTGATCCAGTGTGGTGTCATTATAAATGTCCCACCATTTCGTCACTAGCATTTTGATATCCTCTCGATCCATGTGTTCTTCCTTCCCAGTGTATTTCCACGGCTTAGCCCCTGGAGAACAGTAGTGAACCGCTTTCGCCTTGTTCACCTCAATTTTCTCTGGGTGGCGCCATAGCATGGCCAGCAACAGATTGTATGTGTAAGGAATTGGTTTGTACTCGTCTTTAAAGTACATGTTCAGAAAGTCCTACAAAAAGGAAACGGTTGGGACTATGTATAGCTGTTGAATTAGTAGATGCACATGAGAGAGTGATGAAAAAAAAAAAACATATCTTGAACCATCAATTTATAGAAGTTGAACTCTATCATGTTTTCGATGTATTAAGTTTACTATAACCAGATATAACAGGTTGGTTACTCTGTTCTTCAAGTTACCCGATCTTGTTTGTTAACCAGATTTAATCCGTATAGAAACATAACTTCATATACACACAAATTTATATATACCTGCTCAGCAAATTGGGTGGGTGGGGTAACTTTGAGTGTGTTCAAGAGACGAACATAGATGGAGAGATTTGGCTGAAAGACAAACATGCCTGCGTTGAAGTAAACAGACGGCCTTGGCCCCATCTCTTTGGGCCACGGCAGAACCTCAGCACATGGCTCCCCATACATATCGCATATGCAGTCCGCCACCGCATATAAATACTTATCAGGCAGCTCGAAAAGATGGTCTATGTTCTCGAAAACTTGCATGTCACCATCCAAGTACACCATCTTACTGTACTCCACAAACTGCAATTTAATACCAAAAAACGATCAATCATCGATGATAAAAAAAAAAACCACAATCATTGCAATTATAATAATTTACTTTACCTGCCAAATCCGAAGTTTGGAGTAGTTGAGCACGTAATAAGATCGTGCATACTTATCGGACGATTGCAATGAAGGAGCTAGTGGCTCTATCTCCTTCACTATGCAACCGTGCCTCGTCAATATCATCCTGTGTTCCTCAGGCACATCAGGCAAAATTGCCACAACCAAAGGATACATAGATTTAGCTTTTATCAATCCCTTTGCTAAACCAACCACACCTTTCACATAATCACCATTACCTGCTAAGAAAGTCACATAAGCCCTCCCTAATTCTATATCCTTTTGAGTAGTACTTGCCTTTTTTGTTCCACTTTCAAGTTCTGGAGCCATTTTATATATCTTTTTGTGACAATTTTTTTATGATATCTATGAGAATGTTAATTTGTCTAACATATATAGTAGTAGTACATGCATGGAACGCGGTTGCATGGACAGTGGGATACTGTCATAAGGAAATGTTTCACCGACCAATAAACTTGTAACGGATAGCGTTGAGAGAGTAACAAAAAATAGTAATATTGTGATGGTAGACAGACACGTGTCGGAGAGCGGTGCCACATGCTACGCTACGTGTATTTCTTTGTGCGTTGACACATGTTATTAATATATATATATAAATGGTATTACTACAATTTGTTTTTTAACTAATAACTATATTAAGGTTTTGTAGTTATGTGTTGTTCTACTTAGTTCCGATCCCATGTATGTATCCTTTAATTTGTCGTGAGTGGTTGATTTAGATTAGACGGTGCACGCAGCCGATATCGAGTTCGTTGAAGATATATAGAGAAAACAGTCTATACAATGTAGCTGATAGTAAACTCATTATAATTAGAAATAATAATTATTTTATATTATATACTGAAAAAACAAGTGTTTTTTTTTACGATGAGAAAAAGAGAAAGAGCTCATGATACAAATAAGTTGTGTCCAACCTATATAGTATTGATCAGCTGCATGTCGAAAGAAATAACACGTTTGGAATTGATATTCTTTTTGAAAGGATATAACTCATAAAAGTAGCGTATATATTGATAATCGGCTAGGAATTCGGCTTCTTCTCATTTTTCCTTCGATCGGGTGATCATGCATTATATTTTTTTTTAATACTGATAATTCAAATTTAATAAATTAAAATAAGGTTTTAATCATGATAAAAAAATAAAATATTTTATCATCATCTTTTTCTATTGCTTCGTTTTTAGAATCATAATGTAAAAGTAGTAAATAACTCGTTGATTAGATGTTCATAATCTATATCAACCTTTGATAAAATAAATTAAATTGCGAAAAAGCCTTGACAAGCATAACATCATTTTGAATTTAAAATTCAATAACAATAATAGCTCAACGCTTACCGTAATATTGTGAAGGATCTACAATTTTTAAAATTTTCATCAAATAATACGTAGAACATACACACAATGTTAACTATTAAATTAAGACAAAATATAGATAGTTTTATAAATACAATTATGATTTGTTAAAGAAATGTCAAAAACATCACACTGATGTGATGCTTAATGAGATGGAATCGACTCCTAATAAGATTTGAGCAACCCTCCCCTTTGAGCTAACTTTTGAATGAATTAACTTTTAAACCTAATTTAACATGATATTAGAACGAGATTTATCTCACCCAATATCGGACCCCTAAAGTGCAAACTTTTGATAAACTTACAGGATCAAAACTGTTTGTATTGATACATAAGGGATTATTTTGATATATTAACAAACAATAAAGGACCTTTTTTGTCATTTTCGTAATTTTTCTTTTTCCATATTAAACCTTTTAGTTTTTTTATTTAATTGATAGATACAGGAAGAGAGAGAGAGAGAAGAGGGGTGAATTGGTTCCAACTCCATTTCAGAGTAAAGAAAGCAACGTTATGTTGCAATGCATTTTTCTTCTCTCCGATTCTGGGTATCCTTCTTCTTCTTCTTCTTCTTAATTTCCGTCAAATTCATATTCATCGTACTCGAAAAAGGGGTTCTTTGCCTTTTAATTTGTATTTATTGGGATATTGAATGACTTAGTATTTGATTTGAAGTTTGTTACTAAAGATCTGTGTAATTCAATGTCTCTGTAGGGAGGTAATGCTGGAAAAACAGCTTACTGGACACTGGGTTGATAGGGCAATATGTTCCTGGTTTTGGGATCAGTCAATTGCTCAAGGTGATTCCTTCAAGGTAGGGGCATAAGAGTAATTTGTTCCAATGTTATAGTTAAAGTTGCTAAAAACTCACTGTATAGAGAAATCAAGATCCTTGATCTTGAATTTACATATAATTGTTTTTTGGCTTGACCAAGTTTGAAACTTTTGTTCTGTTTATCTTGAAAAAAGTTTTGGCTTGTTGCAGCATTTACCGGTGATTGCTTCACCAACGCATTACCTTTTCCAAGTTAATCGTGAAGGAGTTACCTTCTTGGCTTGCACCCAAGTAGAAATGCCACCTTTAATGGCAATTGAGGTAATACACTTGGTTATTTTATGTTGTTGCTGCTGGATTGATTTCTTCTTAAATAAGATTATGACACAGGATGGGTTTAATGGAATTGCCTTGGAACTATTAAACACCTGACCAGAATATGTTAAGAGAGGTTAGTAGCATGGTGGTTGGATGGCTAAATGGTGATGCCTCTTGTAATTCTTATCAGTTTAAAATTTGAACATGCTAGCATACCGCGACAGTTAAATTGCTTTCAATCTGAACTGAAAGTTTTCTATTTGATTAGTATGTCCAGAGGATATTGAAGGATTTGAGACAAAAACATGGCATTTTTTGCCCTAGGGCTTTGGTTCAGTTAGAAGGATGCAACTTGGATGTGAGTTTGAACCGAGCCACTGAATATGAGCACGGTATGTCGGTCATCAAAAAAATAGGAGCATGGTATGTAAGTGGAAGTAGAATAGTATGGCAGATACTCCCCCAGTTTTGACCTGTGAGCTAACCGGAATTGGACCAGCTAACTCACAGGGGATTTTTGGGTTATCAGAAGAGAAGGACCCTTTAGTGTGCGACTCTCAAGCTAATTTACACTAGTATATTATAGTAATTGGTTATCGAAAGGCAAACAAATTATGGTAGAGCCCCTTCATCCACAATTAATAAATGTATGTTAGACGTGTTTGTCGTAGTAGAGTTCAATACAACCGTTTATTTGCTGTCGCCATAGTAGGTATGCCCATTGTATTTGATAAAATCTGGCATCATAGAGATTCTCGTTTTCTAAGTTTTTCTTTTGATAAGTTATTTCGTCCATTCCTCTGCCATGTTTTGTCGGCTTTGTGGGCTTTTCTTCTTGGTTAAATGGATTAGATCTGTACGAGTCCAGTCATACTATTGGAAGTCCTTGCACCTGGCAGTTATGATTTTTTTTTATTTTTTTTATGGCAAGGGAAACCCGCAGCCGCTACCCTTTGGGTGCGCACAGGGTAAAACCCCCGCTTCTATGCAATAGCTCACAAACCACATAGGAGAGGTAACCCGCACTAGACAAGCCCGATGCGACGAGCTCGACCCAGAAGGCAAACCCCTTGCTTTCGCTGGCAAGGGGAGACCTCCAACATGGAAGTCCCAAGCCCAAACCACTGGGCCACCCCGAAGGGTTGGCAGTTATGATTTTACTGCTAACTGATTCATTGAATTGATATGTCAAAGTTCTAGTTCTAGCTATTGTAGTCATTTGCTGCTAGGTGAACATAGGGAGGCTACTGCACTTTGCTTATAACTTTGAAACTCTGTATCATCTCTGCAAATAAGGGCTTTATTGATAATTTGACCATTTAATTTCTAGTTCTTGTGCAGAGTAGCTGATGTCCTGTCAGAATATCTTGGAGGGTTGAATGAAGATTTGATAAAGGATAATTTTGTGATTGTATATGAGGTATTTGACATCTTCAAGCTCTTTTTTTGGAATTGTTTGTGCAAAATATATTTTGTTAGGACTTGGGATACTTTTCTTACCCAAAAGAAAAAAAGGAATTTTGTTAGGAAGTTTGGAATGATGCTAACCAGGCTAAGTTGAAGCTTTTAAAAACCATCAAACTAAGGAGTTGTTAAACAAGCTGTACTTTCAGTTCCATCACAATGTACGGTCAGATTATATAGAGTGATTTGGTTGAATTTCTCAACTCCCTTTTATTCACATGCTATAGTGCAATCACAAATGTTGTCTGTTAACCTATACTACACGTTTCTGTATTAATTTTTAGTTTTAACCACCCCAAAACTTGTTGCTTTTGGCCGAAATCACCAGTTGACCAACTATCAGTGCAACTGTAGAGCCTGTTACCATGATATTTATTGATGCACAAAAGAGGTAGTTCTACTCTTGTGACTCTAGAAACCCCCCGCCAAATTCTGGCTTGTAAAGATCCTAAAATGCTCGCTCATCTCTTTAGGCTAAATACACTAGGTCACTAACATGCTGAACACTGCAAAAAGTTGGCTTTTCTTTCCTTCCAAATCCCCCTATGAGCTATGATGGCCCTACCTGCGGTGAGATGTTCCATTTACTGAAGCTTGAAATATCTGCTAGTTCCTTAAGACTTCAAAGAATAGCTTAATAAAAAGTTGCCATGGAACGGAACTCTAAACAGCTGTCCGGTTTAGGTTTCTTCTAAGAACTTCAGCCAAAGTAGAGAGAACTAAAACTTCTGTGGACACAGAATGAGGAAGATTTTCCTCCCAAACTGTCTTGTTAAATTTCCTTCGACACACTAATTAGATTCTGGTGGACTTCAAATTGACTATGGCCTTAACATTTGTTTGATGTGCAGCTTTTGGATGAGATGATAGACAATGGTTTCCCTCTTACTACAGAACCTAATATACTAAGGGAAATGATAGCTCCTCCAAATATCATAAGCAAAGTATTGAGTGTTGTCACTGGTAACACTTCCAACATGAGCAACACACTTCCAGGTGCAACAGGATCTTGTGTTCCTTGGAGAAAAACAGACCTGAAGCATTCAAGCAATGAAGTTTATGTTGATTTAGTTGAAGAAATGGATGCAACTATAAATAGGTTTATATCTTACTATCACTTAACCTCCATTACAGCTCCTTATTTCTCAGTATGTGAGAATCTCTCTATTAATATCTTTAAAATCTTATATTTATCATCAAACTTTTTAGTTTGACATGATGTAACCCATTGTATCACAAAAGGTGAAGGGTAAACATAATGATATGCTACTTTGAAGCAATATCGGGTATACCCTAGAGGTTAAAATCTCACATAAAAACATCTAGAGGTTAAGATTTCAAGAACCAAAGTGTGATCTTAAAAGGATAGTGTGAAAGCTGGCACATTAATTTTGAAG